ATTGTGACCAAAGATTTCCCTGGAAGACAACTATTAACAGATAATAGAAAATTAACACACGGCAGCAGCCGCCATAAAGCATGGAGCATGGGAAACTCTTGGATCCCCCATCAGATAAAAGCAGCACTCCAAAAAATCACCAAAAATCCCATGAATGCTCAGAGTGTGGGAAATCCTTTGCTCGCAGGTCCCTCCTTTTGACCCACAGGAAGGTCCATGTGGGAAGTGGATCCAGTGAAGGTTTGGAGGGTGAGAAATCCAACTCTGGAAATGAAGCAAAAGGTCTCAGAAGCTCCACCAGACTAAAACCCTATAAATGTGAGGAATGTGACTTACGCTTTAGTCAAAAGTCAGACCTTCTTAGACATCAGAAAATCCACACTGGAGAGAAACGTCATCAATGTCTGGCATGCGGGAAATTTTTCTGTAGAAAAGGCACTCTCAGAATCCATGAGAGAATTCATACTGGGGAGAAACCTTACAAGTGTTGGGAATGTGGGAAGAGCTTTCCTCAGAATGCACAGCTTTGGTCCCATGGGAAGACACATGCAGGAATAAAATCTTACAAATGCTTTGACTGTGGAAAATGTTTCACCCAGAGTTCAGGTCTTCGTAATCATAATAAAACACACACAGGGGAAAAAAACGAAAAGTGCCTCGAATGTGGGAAATGTTTTTCCAAAAAATCAATCCTGCTGCGACATCAGAAACGCCACACTGGAGAGAGACCCTATGAATGTCCAGAATGTGAGAAACGATTTGTGGATTCTTCTGAACTTCAGAGACACCAGAAATGGCACAAAGGGGAGCTGCCCCATAGATGTGGGCAGTGTGGGAAATGTTTTGTTACGCCAGCCCATGTTCAGATTCATCAGAGAATCCACACGGGGGAGAAGCCCTACAAATGTGAGGAGTGTGGGAAATGCTTTTCCCAAAAGCAACACCTCGGACGCCATCAGAGGTTCCACACAGGAGAGAAGCCCTACAAATGCGAGGAATGTGGAAAATGCTTTGTAGATAAGAGAGGCCTTTGCAGTCATCATAAAACCCACACAGGGGAGAAACCGCATCAATGCAACGACTGTGGAAGATTTTATACCACATCATCGGCCCTTAAATCTCATGTGAAAATTCACACAGGGGAAAAAGATTACAAATGTTTGGACTGTGGAAGAGCATTTGCTCATTCTTCTTCCCTTCTAAGTCACAGCCGAATCCATACAGGAGAAAAACCTCACAAATGCGCAGTGTGTGATAAATGTTTTGCTCGGAAAGATTCTCTTGTGATGCATCAGCGAATCCACACTGGAGAGAAACCATATAAATGTCTGGAATGTGGGAAATGTTTTGCCCATAATTCATCACTTCACTGGCATGTGCGAAATCACAGAGGAGACTAGCCTTACAGAGTGTGAGAAACCTTTTCATAGTTAATCAAAGCTAGAAAAGCACCAGAAAGTACTTAGCAGAGATAAATCTCTTCACTTGTGGACACATTTAACAGGAACTTCACACAGTGATAGAAGGGAAATCGTACAATTGTTTGGTTTGGGGAAAATGTTTTTCCTACTGAAGGAACCTCAAATAACATCAGGGAGTACACAGTGAGGCAAAAGGGTACAAATGTTGGAATTGTGAGAATATCTTACTTGCATAGTCGCATTAGTAACTTATCAGAGTGGTTACACCAGAGAGTTAAAAGTATGTGGGGAGTAGATATAATGTTTTGCAGAGCACAGGAAGTTCTGGACTTGGGACCCCAACTTGGAATGGATTTCTGGTCATAGGTTCCTTCAGTTGTAAGTCAAAACCAGGTACTTCTCTTAATTTTTACTAGATGATGTTGATCCATGAGGAGAACTGAAAAGTTAGAGGGAGAAAATGGGGTGAAGGATGAATGTGGTAAAGTTTTGATGTTGAATCTACTGGCTGAGGACGAGAAGGAAAAGTTTCTTTTTCCTATTATCTTTTTTGGAGGGATTTTTTTTTCCTTTTTTCATTTTCCCCCCCATATATTCACGTTATTTGTACTAACTTTCTTTCTGTGCATATAATCCTTAATAAAAGCATTGTTCAAAATAACCAAGGGGGCCTTTTTCAGGAGATGGGCTGGGCAGATCAAAGCGGCCAAGATGGGAGTCAGATTGTGCCATCCTGGGCAGCCAAAGTGGGGTGAGAAAGTGGCTCTCAGGGCTCCCCTGGATCAGGAAATGGCCTGTGGGGAGGAGGTAGAGGAGGAAGGCCGTCAGGGAGTCCAGGGCCCATGGTTCCCAGCAGCTACTAGAGGAGGGAGCCACGCTTCTCAGGAGGGGTTGGAAACCCATCGCAAGAGGCTACCGGAAGATGCCCCCTAGAGGAGAAATGGGGAATTATCAGTCCCAGGAAGATCCACCCTTGGAGGGGGGAGGAAAATGAGGGGAAGGGTCGGGGCTTCCTGATGGACCTCCTCCATCTTCCCAGGGTGGAAAAGGGCAGGCAGACGCTCAACTGGCCAGCAGTCCGCCTGACACTCTGGAGAGAACCTTGGATCTCATGGCCCCCCCAGACCCCACACAGGAGGGGCTCCCCTCCAGCACCAAGGACGCGGCGCTAGGCCTGTGGGACCAACCCTCCCTCCAGAAGTTGCTTCCTGGTGGAGCAGCCCCGGGATCGCAGTTGAGGAATAGGAGGCGAACGTTGCTGCTTAACTCATTCTCTGCCTGGGTGCAATAAACGTTTTTCTAGAGAAACTACTCTTGGGATACATCAGAGAATCCACAGTGGAGGAAAACCACAGAAATGTTCAGAGTGTGAGGAATGTTTCAAATCCCCCCCCCCTTCATTTTGCAGGCACCCCCAAAATCACACAAGAGAGTGGTTTTACAAGGATGCAGAGTGAGAGAAACCTTTTCAATGTAAACCAAAGCTAAAAAGGCATCAGAAACAATCAAGCAAAAGTGCATAAGTCTGGCTCAGAAAGCAGGAGCGCTGGTCACTTACCAGAGTGAAAAAGAAAAGAAAAAAAGTTACAAGTGTTGGGGATGGAGTGGAGATCCTTTTTGGCAGAGCACACTTAGTCCTTAACCTACAATCACAGCTAGAAACAGATTCCTGGTCACAGGTTTGTACAATTCTACGTTCTGGCGTCCATATGACAGAATCACATTTTATGACACTTTTTTGTAGTCATTAAGCAACAAGGAGTCTATAAAGCAAATCTGGTTGTAAAAGCCAGCCGGTTGCCAAGTGCTCACGATGTGGTCACGTAATGTGGAGGGGGTAGGTTAGGACGACATTTTACAATGGCCAGAATTGTTTTATGGGCCCTCAATGCTTGCCGTAAGTTGAGGACTTCCTGCAATGAAATCTTGATAAACCTGGGAGCAATTGCAAAAGGGGATCATTGTATAAATACATGGAACATTGCAAAATATCGACTTTCCCGAGATCTTTGGAGGCCCGGAAGGATGCACAAGAAAAAGAAATGGTGCGTTTGGTGTGTGGGAAATGTTTTTCTGCACTGTCTACCTGGATCTGCAGGTAAAAATGCCCTCCAGAAAACCTCCAGGTGGTCTGATGGCTGGAGACTCTTTCCGGATGACAAATCGCATGAGAGCTTGGTGTGTGGAAAAGCTTGGTCTGTTGCTTGAAATGAGAAAATGGTTGTCCTGCATTTGTGGGTCCCCTGAGAGAAATCTTTGTAGCATAGAAAAGGCTTTATCCTGAAATCTTCCCAAAAAACACAAAAACAGGCCGTAATTGTTTTAAAGTGAGAAAAAAGCTCCTTGGGCTGTTTTTATTAAATGCAGCTTGTCATCTTTTTAATTTGATCTGTCAGAAAAGGTGTAGCGCCTTCTGCTTGGGCTGGGGGTTGGACTAGATGACCTACAAGGTCCCTTCCATCTCTTTTACCTGTTAATTTAGATTCTATTTTCATTCCTTTACGGATATTCTTCTTCCTATTTCATCATTGTTCATACACCATGTTACATTAAATATTATTCTTGCTTATTTCTGTTCATCCGGAACCAATTACTGAATTTTCCATACAGATGTCACTTCAAATAGTTTAAATTTAATGCAAGGATTTTGTGGGAATCATTGGCTTCACTAAATGAGACCTACCTTAACTCATCACTTGCCTTTATTGGTTGATTCGCTCCTTCCCCTCTGTCCTCCATCAAATGGCATCTCCTCCCCAGCCCAATGTAGCCTAATGTTCTCCTACCTGTTTTCCTTGGGAAATGGTCTTTTCCCGCTTGAGCCCATATAATATATTCCTTGGTGACATAGTGGCTGATTTGCTCAGAAGCTGGGATCTGCCCGGCTCCTATTGGCTCCTTCAGGGGGGCTTCTGGCATCTTCCCTCCCCCTGTCAGCCCCTTGATCCGGGGACACCTGGTTCCCCAGAAGTGGATCCCACTGTAGCACAAGGAATGAGGAGCCCCTGACTGGAGGGGGGACTTGAGTTTTCCTCTGGGGGTCAGGATCCCCCGCTTCCCCAGCTCCAGAAACGCCAGGCGCCTTAAAGTCAATCTGGGGAAACAGCTCAGGGTGGAACTGGGGGGGGGTCCTTGGTGGTCTCTGAGCTTCGGGGTTTCCCCCGCAGACGTCTCACTGCCTAACTGGGCTACATCATCCAGGCAGCCACCAAGCACCAACCTCAGAGAGCCCCAAGGACCCCTCAAC